CTCTCGCTGTCTCTCTCTCTGTCAAATAAATAAAATCTTTAAAAAAAAAAAAAGAAGGAGAGGGAGAAGCAGACTCCCTGCTGAGCAGAGAGCCCGACGAGGGGCTCCATCCCAGGACCCTGGGATCATGACCTGAGCTGAAGGCAGACACTTAACCGATTGAGCCACCCAGGTGCTCCAAGAGGGTTTATTTTCATGGCTGTCAGTTTTATTCCATTTATCTATGTCTATCCTTGCACCAGTACACAACGGTTTGGTTACTGTAACTTTGTAAGTTTAGAAATTAGGAAGTGTGAGTTCTCCAAATTTGTTCTATTTTTTTTAAGATTTATTTCTTCGAGAAAGAGAGAGAGAGAGCGAGCGGGAGCAGGAGGGGCAGAGGGAGAGCGAGAGAGAATCTCAAGCAGACTCCAAGGGCTCGATCCCATGACCCTGAGATCATGACCTGAACTGAAACCAAGAGTTGGACACTTAACTGCTCCACCCAGGTGCCTGTTCTTTTTTTTTGCAAGATTGTGTTGACTATTCTGGGTCCCTTGACGTTCCATGTGAATTTTAGGATCAGTTTCTGCAGAGAAGCCAGCATGATTATGATAGGGGTTGTGTAGTTGTGTTGAATCTGTAGATCAATCCGGAGAGTATTCCCTATTTAATGATGTAAAATCTTGTGATCCGTAAATATGGGTATCTTTCCATTTATTTAGATCTTCCTTAACTTCTTTCAACATTGTTTTGTGGTTTTCAGAGTATAAGCTATACATTAAAAAAATGTATTCCTAAGTATTTTAATTCATTTTGAGGCTACTTGATGGAATTACTTTCTTAATTTCATTTTCTGATTATTCATTGCTAGTGTATATCCAACTGCTTTGAGGGATATACTTGAGCTCTGTTCGTTTCCTTACTCTGTGCTTTTCAGCATTTCATAGATTTTTAAGTATTTTTTCTCAGTGCTATCTCTGCCTGATTTTGAGCTTTCTTAAAAGTCCAATTCTGTAGCGTAGGCTTATCCTTGGGCAGTCTTGTGCCCTCTGGAGGGTTCTGTTGCCCAGCCTCTGAGATCATAAAGCCATCCATCCCAGCCTGCTGAATAACAATCAGCATGGGGACCTCATGTTTGGCTGGACTGCTCTGAACTTGATTTTTTTTAACCTGGAATTCTGCCATAATTATTTTTTCATGTAAACATATACATAAAATATGGCTGTGTTAGAATGAAGTTTTCTTTTAATTTTTAAAAAAGATTTATTGATTTATTTTAGAGAGATAGTGCATGTGTGCAGGGAGGGGCAGAGGGGTGGGAATCTCCAGGCAGACTCCCCACTGAGTGCAGAGCCCAAGGTAGGGCTCAATCTCCTGACCCTGAGATCATGACCTGAGCCAAAACCAAGAGTAGGACGCCTAACCAGCTGAGCCACCCAGGTGCCCCAGAATGAAGTTTTAAAGGCCCACAAAATGAAACTGCCAATTTTTAGGTTCTGCCTCCAATCTTCTTTTCTGCATTTCAATTTGCCAAAAATAGTGGAGAGCTTACATTTGTATCCATTTTCTGTGTACTGTTATGTCATAATTATTTCCCTGTGTTAGTATAGTCTCCATAAAAAGCTGTGGTGACTATGTAATATTCCATTGAGTAGGTGCCCTATAAATTAGTGATCCATTCTTTTATTTTTATTATTATTATTTATTTATTTATTTATTCATAAGAGACAGAGAGAGAGAGAGAGGCAGAGGGAGAAGCAAGCTCCCAAGGAGCAGGGAGCCCGGTGAGGGACTCGATCCCAGGACCCTGAGATCATGACCTGAGCCGAAGGCAGTCGCTCAACCATCTGAGCCACCCAGGCGCCCAGTGATCCATTCTTTTAATGTTGAACATTTATTTTCAGTCTTTCACTACTATAAGTAACATTGCAAAGAACTATGTTCCTAAGAGCTTTCGGTATTTAGGAGTATTTCCTTACCAATAGAATCCTAGAAGTGGAATTAGTGAGTCCAATGATGTAGTGGTTTCGAACTTTAGCTATATCTCTGCATCACATTACCAAGGGTTGAACACTTTCCTTTATCCAAGTGGTGGATGGGATGTCCATGTCACCTCACCCCTACCTGCACTGGGTAATAGACTTTTAAAGTGCTGATCTTAGAGTTTAAGAAATTGCATCTCATTTGCAAATTGTTAATATCTTGATTACCAAGAATGTTTGCAAAAGGTCAGTTTATGGCCTTTTCTCATTTAGTTATTAGGGTCATCATCGTGTTTTCTGGACAGCTTTATTTTTTTCTTTATTTGACCCTCAGAATTATTTAAAGTTTACATGGCATCAATTATGTTGTTTCCTTTGTGACTTCTTCTAAAAACCTGCTGTCGTTTTTTAAAAAATTGTTTTCATTGTCTTTGTTCTTTAATGGATGTACTGTGGAGGTCCTCTTTCTTGACTTCTCCAGGTCAAGTCTGAGGGGAGAGGGGCCAGAGGTAATGGAGAAGTGGGGGCTAAGTGCCCCCATTGGGACAGCATGACGCAGGCTTCATTTTTGCTTGTGATATCCTCTGATCTGTGGCTTCAAGTTTGCTGTTTCTTGTAAAATAAGCCTCAAGTGCTTTAGTCAAGTTGGCTCACAATTACGTATTGAAAACCAGAAGGACATACCTTGAAACGTTAACAGGCATTATCCCTGGGTGACAGGACTATGGGGGATTTATTTATTTACTTTTCTGCATTTTGTAAGTTGTCTATAGTGAACTCTTTCACAGTGAGAAAATAAATGTTTTTTGTTTTTTTTTAAATGTGAAAGGGTTCAAAGCCAGTAAATAGAAAAAAGCCCCCTTAATCGGATGTATCATTTCCTCTGAAGAGGCCATCCGGTCTTGTCCCTGGAATGCTGGTGTGCAGTATGTCAGGCCTGCAGGGAACTTTGTCTGTAGGTGATCTCCGTCCATCTGGACCCAGGAGTTGACCCTGGGCTTGAAACCTGGCTGTAGCTGGGACCTGGGGGGTATCCGGGCTCCTGGGTACTTTCCTTACTTCTTGCCCAGCTGGATTCACTCCTGCTTGCGAAAAGCTGACAAAAACAAGGACAACAAGATGAGCTTCAAGGAGCTGCAGAACTTCCTGAAGGAGCTCAACATCCAAGTGGATGACAGCTATGCCCGGAAGATCTTCAGGGTGAGGCAGGGAGTGAGGGCTGGGTCTGTGTGGCCGTGGGCCCGGGACCCTAGTGGGGAGCATGCTCTGAGCCCTGCCCCCCCGGCCTGGCAGGAATGTGACCACTCCCAGACGGACTCCCTGGAGGATGATGAAATTGAGGCCTTCTACAAGATGCTGACCCAGCGGGAGGAGATTGATCGCACCTTTGCCCAGGCGGCCGGTTCCAGGGAAACGCTGTCGGTGGATCAGTTAGTGACGTTCCTGCAGCACCAGCAGCGGGAGGAGGCGGCAGGGCCTACACTGGCCCTCTCCCTCATTGAGCGCTATGAGCCCAGTGAGACTGGTGAGAGTCTGGCTGGGGCCTTTGGCCTGCAGTCCCTGGGGCCACACCGTGCTGGGAGACCCCTGGGGAGACTACAGACCGAGTGTAGGGAGCTGGAGGGAAGGGGGGCACCCTGGTCAGTATTTGCTTGCCCCCTGAAAGCAAGCAGATGGGAGACAGGGCTCCGGCATCACCACCCCTCTCTTGGTTCCTTCTCCAGGGGGTTTTGTGGACTCCTCCTCCAGGAAATAGAGAGGAGGCTGGAAAAGCAAACCCTTTTCCTGCTTCCATCCTGGGACGGGCTTTGAGATGGACAGACGGGGCCCTTCCCTGGAGGGGCTTCAGTCTGGAGGCCCAGAGAAGGAGGAGATGAGGCCCCGGCTTCAGGCGGTCTCACAGTGTGGGGGACCGAGGAGGAGAAGACAGGGCCCCACCCTGGGGTAGTCACAGTCTGATGGTTGACTCAAACTCACCCCCTCCGAGAGCTATCAAGGTCCAGCTCAGGACAGGGAGGCAGGGACAGCTGGGGGCTCCCCTCCCCGAGCGGTGGCGCCCGGAAGGTCTCCTGGAGGTGGCTGGCCTGGCGGGAAGGACTCTGACGCGCAGGCCTCGTCCTTCGCAGCCAAGGCGCAGCGGCAGATGACCAAGGACGGCTTCCTCATGTACCTGCTGTCCGCCGACGGCAGCGCGTTCAGCCTGGCGCACCGGCGGGTTTACCAGGACATGGGCCAGCCACTCAGCCACTACCTGATGTCCTCCTCGCACAACACGTACCTGCTGGAAGACCAGCTCACGGGACCCAGCAGCACCGAAGCCTACATCCGGTGGGGCCCAGGGCGGGGGCGGGGCGGGACGGCCTGGGGGCGGGGCCGGGCGGGGCCGGCCGGGCACTGAGGGCCTAGCCGCCACGCTTGCCCGCAGGGCGCTGTGCAAAGGCTGCCGCTGCCTGGAGCTCGACTGCTGGGACGGCCCCAACCAGGAGCCGGTCATCTACCACGGCTACACTTTCACCTCCAAGATCCTCCTCTGCGACGTGCTCAGGGCCATCCGGGACTACGCCTTCAAGGTTGCGCGCGCCCCTGGCGGGTGAGGAGGGCCGCGGTACGGGCGGCCCGCCCCTCCTAACCTGCCCTGGGGCCTCCAGGCGTCCCCCTACCCCGTCATCCTGTCCCTGGAGAACCACTGCAGCCTGGAGCAGCAGCGTGTGATGGCGCGACACCTGCGCACCATCCTGGGCCCCATGCTGTTGGACCGGCCGCTGGACGGGGTCACCACCAGTCTGCCTTCCCCTGAGGTTCGCGGTGGGCATGGGGGTACCCAGACGAGAGGGCAGGTGGACTGGCTGGGAGGCCAGCTGGGTCTTGACGAGCTGCTCCTTCCTTCTTAGCAACTGAAGGGGAAGATCTTGCTGAAGGGGAAGAAGCTGGGGGGGCTCCTGCCCCCTGGCGGGGAGGGTGGCCCTGAAGCCACTGTCGTGTCTGATGAGGATGAGGCTGCTGAGATGGAGGACGAGGCCGTGAGGAGCCGCGTGCAGCGCAAGTCCAGGGTTCGAGGGGGAGCTGTGGGGGAGGGGGCAGCCCTGGGGCCCTCCCCCATCATGGGATGTTTGCCTTGTCTCAGTTCTCTGTGGCTGCCACTCAGACCCTCTGCCCCCCTTTCTCTGTCTGTCTCCCTCTCTGTCTCTCCGTGTCTGGGTTTCTGGCTCTCTCAGTGCCCACCTGCCCCAACCTCTGAATCTAACCTGGGCCTCCCCATGGCCCCCAGGAGGACAAGCTCAGGCTAGTGAAGGAGCTCTCCGATATGGTCATTTACTGCAAGAGTGTCCACTTTGGGGGCTTCCCCAGCCCTGGCACCCCAGGGCAGGCTTTCTATGAGATGGTGTCCTTCTCTGAGAACCGCGCCCTCCGACTGCTCCAAGAGTCAGGTGAGCCCCAGCCCTGCATTCTCAGGGTGCTGGCAATCCGTCTGACCATTTGGACTGGCCTGGGCCAGGCCTGGCTCCACTACTCGGGAAGTGCACAGCACTCCCTGCTGTTACCAGAAGGGGGCGGGGGGCAGGGCTGGGGTGGGGTTGGGGCTCACCGGGAGGCCTGTGCTTCTGACCACCCACACACCCTTTTCAGGAAACAGCTTTGTTCGCCACAATGTCAGTCGCCTGAGCAGGATCTATCCTGCTGGGTGGAGAACAGACTCCTCCAACTACAGCCCCGTGGAGATGTGGAACGGGGGCTGCCAGATCGGTATGGGCTGGCAGGGGCTGAGGAGGCCGGGCTGAGGGTTTCAGTCCAGAGGGCCAGGGGTCAGGAGCCTCTGGGGAGGGACTTGCGGGCTCAGGCACTAGTAGTCTCGGTTTGGACATATGCCCCTGCCAGCAAGTCAGGGTCTGAAGTCGCCTCATTAGCACAGTCGTTCTTTGAATTCTGGCACCAGAAATGGAATGTGGGCTGGCGTGGTGGGTCGGTGACAGTGGCAGGGCGGCAGTAGGCGTTGGAGTGATGCCGGACCCTGCTTCTGGCACGCCATGTTACCCTAAGGCCTCAGTGTACCCTGGGTAGGCTGGGCTCTAGGGCCCCCGGGCCAGCCCACAGCCTATGACTGCTCTGTCCTGCCTCCAGTGGCCCTGAATTTCCAGACCCCTGGCCCAGAGATGGATGTGTACCAGGGCCGCTTCCAGGACAACGGGGCCTGCGGCTACGTGCTGAAGCCTGCTTTCCTGCGAGACCCGAATTCTACCTTTAACTCACGTGCCCTGGCTCAGGGGCCCTGGTGGACCCGGAAGCAGCTCAGTGTCAGGGTACGGCCAGCCACCGCAGGGACAGGAGCCCGTGGGCCTCCCTCCCCGCTACCCTTCCTGAACCCTCTCTGTCCCTTGCCCGTGCTCAGGTCATCTCTGGGCAGCAGCTGCCGAAAGTCAACAAGAATAAGAATTCAATTGTGGACCCCAAGGTGACAGTGGAGATCCACGGTGTGGGCCGGGACGTGGCCAGCCGCCAGACTGCCGTAGTCACCAATAACGGTACTTGGTGGGCGTGGGTGGGGCCCGGCCCCTGGAGCTGGTCCGCACTGTTGACGTGGGGCTTGTACTGCCAGGTTTCAACCCATGGTGGGACACAGAGTTCGTGTTTGAGGTGGTCGTGCCTGAGCTTGCCCTCGTGCGCTTCGTGGTGGAGGATTATGACGCGTCCTCTAAGAATGACTTCATTGGCCAGAGCACCATCCCCTTGGGCAGCCTCAAGCAAGGTTTGTTGAGGGGGAGGGACGACAAGGTGGAGGAGGCGGGGCCTGTTATCTCTTGGGCCGGGGCCGTTGTCCCTTGGAGCATCCTCACCGAGTGACCGGAACTCTCCGTGTGCTCTTTCCTGCCCATCCCCCTGCCAGGATACCGCCATGTCCACCTCTTGTCAAAGAACGGAGACCAGCACCCATCTGCCACCCTCTTTGTGAAGGTGTCTCTCCAGGACTAGGTTTGGGGGTTCTGAAGGGGCTGCTCCAGGCAGACCAGGCCCTCTGTCCCCATGTAGGGAGAGGGCTGGTGTGGCTGCTCCCCACCTCTCACTTGGAGCTAGAGGCCCTGCACTGCCTTCAGCTCTAACAGACGTCTGTGCTGCTGCCTCCCTGGGGTCTCAGGAGCTGGCCCAGTCCCCGGAGCTCTCCTCGATTCCATTAGGAAAAGCACTGCAGCCCTCTGCCCTCTGGCCTGGCCCTGGGTCGAGGGTTTTTATAAAAGTTATGACTAAGTCCTGTGGTCTCTTTACCTGAATGCCAGAAAGTTCCTATAAAGGGCACGTGTGTGTGTGTGTGGGGGGGGTAAACACTGGAGCCCCATCACCTCTCTCTCCACGTCCCCCACACTGACACTGTATGAGGATTGTCTGTCCCCTTGGGCAGGAAGGACCAAGGAGAAACAAACACCTCCATGGAAGACAGTGGAGAGAGCTCAGTCCTCTGGAATGTCACAGACCACCCCCTCCAGTCCCAGAGGCCCCTTCCCCCCAGAGCTGGACCAACTGAGTGACCCAGACTTGAAAGCCCACACACCACACCTCGTGAGGGCCACCAGCTTTTATTGACCGGGGTGGAGGGGTTGACCCGGGAGTCTCCAGCTAGGCTTTGCCAGCGGGGTCTCCCGGGGGGTTCAGGTATGTGTTGGGAAGGTACGCGTGGGGGTCCTGGCTATGTGGGTGGCACTGGCAGGGGCAGGGCCTGGGGTCAGAACAAGCCAAGCTGCTTTTTCTCCTGCTGCTGCCTCCATTTAGCCATGCTATAGAATTCTTCCTTGGATTTCCCAAAGATATCTTGGAAGTCAGAGTCGGAGAGATAGAACTGCGGGGCGGGAGGAGGAGAGAGTACAGGGGCAGGGTGTCAACTGATCCCAGAATCCTGTCCCATTGGCCCGGTGGTGCCATCCCAGGGCTCAGGGCTCAGGGCTCTCCTCCCCCACATCTCTCTGCCCATTATCCCATCCGGAAGACATCTCCCCGGGCAGCGGGCCCATCGCGCACCATCAGTGGGTCATGCCCCGGGCACCTCCAGCTCAGTTTGAGATGCATCAGTGAGTGGCAGGGGGCCTCGGGCACCCACCTCCTTGTGGGCTGGGTCAACGCCCTCTGGCAGGTCCTCGGCAGCCTGGTGCATTAGCTGTTCGCGGGGCAGGCTCCCACTGGTGGTGGGTCTGGGGCTGCTGTGGAAGCTGCCGGTGCTGGTGCCCCCGGCCTTGGGCCCTAGCTGCAGCTCGTTCCCTGAGCCCTCCTGGGAGCCCTCGAGGGCCCGCGGGGTCAAGGGGCCTGCGCTGCCATTGCTTGGCCCTCTAGAGAGCTGCAAGTTGTCCAGTTCCTGCCGGGAGAGGGGACTCACGCTGGGGATATGGGGGCGAGGCTCCCACGGGGAGGCCACACTAAGCCCACAGCCCTCTTGCCCCCATTGCAAACCCTGCCACCCACCAGGGCCTGGCTCCTTCCTTGCCCATCCTGCCCGCCCGGGCCATGTCGAGCAAGCCCAGTCCCCGGCGGGAGCCTGGCAGGCCCGATACTCACTGCTGTTATAACTATGGCAGGTTTTGCTCCCAGGCTGCCATCCACCGCCTCCTCATAGGACTGGTTGTTCTGGGGGCAAGAATCAGGACAGAGCAGGATGGAGGGCACCACTAGAACCCAGGGGGCGGCGGGCTGCGAACAAGACCCGGGCTCCTCTTCCCACACTGGAAGTCCCCAGACAAGGCAATGCCTCCTCCCAGTGTGCCCAGGGCAGGCCCCTCTCCCTGGGGTAGGGTGGGGCTGGAAGTGCAGGCCTCACTCACAGTCCACTTGTAAGGGTCCCAGGTGAGGAACCATCCAGTGAAGGTGGGAGGCTCGTGGCCCTGCTTGATCACCACGATGGGCGTGGCAGGGCTCCTCGCTGCCGGGTGCGTCTTCAGGTACTCGCGGCCCCAGGCCACCGCCTCCTTCCACTCACTGGCAGCTTCCCCGAGCCACAGGAAGATCTGGGCCACAGAGGGGGCCTGGCCTTGGGCAAGTGGAGGGGCTGCCCAGAGCTGACCACTTCCTTCCCAGCCCCATCTATTAAATGGTCTCACGATCCCGCACACATCCCAGCCAGCCAGGCACACCAGGCAGGCTGGCCGCCACACCACCCACACACCCATAAATGTGGTGGACGGTCACAGGCACACATGTATACATTCAATCCACAAATACTTATTGAGTTCCTATTGTGTGCCAGGCAT